GCGATCCATTGCTCGGGAACTGAGTTGTGGGAAACAATTGCAATACCCGTAACATCAATGGATAGAGATCTACATTAATGAAAGGCTTGGCGTGATTGTAGCCGGACTTGAATGCGGGTCCGCTGGCGATGAACAGGGGCTGCATCGACGGCAATGAGTTATTGTAGCCGTGATTTCCCCACACATTTCCTCCTATAAACAAATTATCGTCAAATTAAGCGATAATTAGCAATCATTTTGAACAATACATAACACCATAACAAACACACAGACCTTTTGGAGTCCACGTCATGTTCCGGAATATATCCCACCCCTCGTCGGCCATTAGAAATATAGGCAAAATTCTTCGGTGATTCTTGTAGTGAAACTCTTGTGGTATGTCTTCCTTCTTATAGACCGTGAAATTCATGGTTTTGGACGCATTGAATAGAGTCTGGAAAACCTTGTCTTCGAAGCCGGGCTTGGGTTGAATGGACCAAACGGGTGACGCGCCGTACATGTCATACCACGACGCGTTCAGGAACTCATTCAATTTGATCACTCGCTCAGACCTTCAAACATAAATCAAACAATTATTACTTCAAATATAATCTAAAAACACATTTGTTGTTTCCATGAAAGGCGCACCTGATCTCAGCCATGCCATGATCTGACAGCACAATCAGATTTGTATGACTCAAAAGACCCGTCTCTTGCAACCTCTTAAGCAAATGCGCGATTGTCTTATCCGCGAGTTTAACCTTCGCGTACACCTCTTCACTGAAGGGCCCGAATTCGTGGGCAGTAGTGTCCGGTTCGTCGAAATAGGCGAACACACAGTTGGCCGGCTCTGTCGGCGCAGTCATCCAATCAATCATTTTATCAATTCTCTTATCCCAAGTCATGCCGTCATCAAAACCGTGTAGATATTTAATCGTTTGGTTCTTGTATTTGACATGACTTCCGGGCCATTGCATGGAACCGCTGTATCGGTTGGTGGAGTCCACCAATTGATTGGCGATCTGTTTGTGCGATCAATGCGTTAAAAACCCGATTCTCGCAGAAGTGATGGCAAAATGAATACCCAAATGGGAAGCACTGGCTTCTCGTCCCACCACTTGTTGGCAGACCTGTCGATATCCGTCGGCGTAAACGTCTCGTTGTATTGCGGATCAAACATCTCGTTGTTAACGATTCCGTGATATTCTTCGTAATAACCGGTGGCTATTGTCTGGTGATTGGGATATGTTTTGGTCACAAACGAGGACATCATGTGAGCTAATCATCGGCGCGAAAGAGAGGCTATCATTAAAAGAGAGAGACATACGGCGAATGTAACAGACCTTTGACCCCATACTGAGCCAACTTATGAAGGGTTGGCGTCAACTCTGGTCTCACGTAATCACTTCTGAAGCCATCAAACGATACGACAACGAGAATGGGATGACTGGATGTGAGCTGAAGAACAGTGGATAATAATAGGGCCACAACTGATCCAAACGCGTGAGACATATTGTGGCGGCAGTTGTGGACATTGAGTGGACAGCTGTTATGTGATGACCACCGAAGCAATGGTCGCCCAAAGCATTGTCTTAATTGTCAAATCAATTGAAAATCATAAACAAAATGTGAATTCAATTCAAAAAACAAACACAAAATCAATAATCGATTGAATGAATGGTTTTGAGTGAAAACATGCACTCAATTGGTGTGCCTTTCAATACAGACAACACATAACACACAGTCTCTGCACTTTTGTTGTTAACATATTGTTGCGTAACTATATCTCAGCTCTATATATGTGTTAACTGCGCGCGCGTTAGGCATACAGTTAACCGCCTTTTACTGTATTACTCTCAGTCTAATCTGTGTCTCTCTTTCTGCCATATGTTACGCAATATTAGACCAAATTTACCAAACTTTGTGAATGTCTGGATTAGTTTAAAACTATATATATTTAATGTTTAGTATGTTTACAGATAATCAATGAATACGACCACTAGTTTTAGTGCCAAAGACAATACGATTCTTTGTTTTTAAGGCTAAACATAGTTTTTATGATAAGAATTATTGAAAGTATTTTTCAAACCAAAAAACTTATCACTCTTTGGATGCGATAAGTATTGCATAATTGGTTCACATGTTATAAACATATGGCCTATGGTTTGAAGACACGGATATGTAATTGACATTGAAGTTTATAATTACTTGATTTGCTGACAAATATGTATTGATTAAAACTAACAGTAACATTAAAATTATCGATTAGTTAAACATTGAATAAAACCTGAAAATTCATCATGCACATAATTATCAAACCCTGCTTTAGATTTAGTGAATTCTAAGTGTGAAAAATATGAATTTAATTCAAAAATGCATTTTTATTTGTGTTATACTCACTCTTTTATTCAATAACTCTTTTAAAATTAATTTAATCTTTTTACACACATTTAGAGCGCGTTTTTATCTTTAACATGATTGAAATTTTCCACAGAATTTAATTGGATTTACAGAACAAATAATTATAATTTTGTTTATAAATTACACACAAATTGAGTTCAATTTACATATTTGTACCGAGAGTTTCATTTTGACGATAATTAGTTGATTAAACCAATATTTGTAAATTGCTTTTTGAATTAAAGCTTTTGTGTTTATATTTAATTGATTTGATGTGTTATATACTGTTAAATACAAATTAATTGAATAATTGTGATCCCAATTGTATTTAAAGCAAGTTTTAAACCAAAACTCCATAGAATTATGAATCGCGCGGCGATTCTGTTACCGAAATTCATTCAACCATTTGTGAGAAAGTATTTCAAAGATTACAATACTTCTAATATGAACGCAAAACACCGAAACAAAAACTACAAATTTATCAACCATTCACTCAAACCTCTTGTCTTGTCATCGGTTCCTATAATGAAGTATAACTATTGGTCGGACAGAAGTGGGCATCAAATGAAACCATTTATGACAGGCATTCAAATGGACAGAGATTTTGGCCTAAGAAAAGCCCATTTGGCCGACAAATCCATCGATGAGATAGTGGACGATATGATGGACTGTTTTGTGACAATCCATGATTACATGCCTATCGACGAAGACTTGATGACTTGTGTGTCAATGGGTTCGGGTGTCTTCATCGATCCATGAAATGAATGTCTAGTTTGAAAAATACACTTATAATTGAATTTTTGATTGTTTTTTTGGTCACTTTTTTGTGAATTGAAAAATCATTTTGTGAAAAATTTTTTTAGAAATGTTTTCCAAGACTTCGATATCATAACTAAAGTAAACGACTCTGAAGTGCATTCTGAGGATGAATTTCAAACACTGTTGAAAAAATGCAATGAATTGAATATAACTGTCATTAGAGGCGAAACTGAAGTAACACTTCCAATATCACGACAACAAATGCATTATCCTTTAATTTAAATAAACATTTGTCCAATAGTTTAGTTTAGCATTAAATGTACATTTTGTATAATTTATAAATATTATCCTATTTTAACGCATTTTCTTCTATAGAATTGTTTTGTTCAGTAAATCGATTAGTCTCATTTTTAAATTATTTATAAACTTATTATTTAAACTATAAATTAACACAATAGGTAATAGTTTGCAAACAAATTCACACAAGAATCGTAAATACAATGAAATTGTTTAGAGACGAAAACAATCATGTTTTACACAATTCATTATAAAATAATATTTATTTAACTAAAACTTTTAATAGAATTTAAAATTAATTAATTTCTAACTATCACTACATTTAATGATGATTTTCTATACAGAAAATAAAACAAAACAAAAGCCGCAAAATTTAACAAATTGTCATTAAATAAAATAAATTAAAAACAAAAACAACAATTAATTTGTTATTATAATTTGAACGTCTATTATGTCATCGGTTCCTAAATTATTATCAATTGATATTCAGTAGAGGTTTAACTGTAAATAATAGTAATGACAGACAGAGAAGCGCTCCCAAAATGATTGTCATAACAACTAAAACATGCTATAAATCCGATGGCAGTTATAACTGAACGTTATGTGGTTTATTGACTTTCAGGTGTTTGTGTTCAGTGAATGGAGTGACACCGCGGATGTACTCTTCCAATGGCTTGGCGTAGACGTCGCCATACAGTTCCTCA